TATATATATATATATAGAGATATATGTTTGTGTGTAATAAGTATTTTATTATATGTTTTTCTTTTCGTGTCTTTTTTAGAGATTCTGAAGAATATTCCGATAGAACATTATCCGTGTGTGTAGAACAACTGATAATCTAAATTCGTGAGTAACGCGAATAACACCAATGCAACATTTGTAAAATATTTAATATCTTGTAAAAAAAAAAAAAAAAAAAAAAAAATTCTTTCTCTTATGACAAAATATTTTCTAAATGATCAATACTATTTAATTATTATACAATATTATATTTTATTATTTTATTATATTATTATATTATTATATTATTGTTTTATTATATTATTATATTATTATTTGATTATATTATTATAATTAAATTATTATTTTATTATATTATTATTTTATTATGTTATTATTTTATTATTTTATTATATTAGTATTTTATTATAATTATATTATCATTTATTATATATTATATTATTATATTATTATATATTATTGTAATTATATTAATAAGATTATTATATAAATTATTATATAAAATTGATATACTTATAATATATTATAATTATATAATATTAATTAATTTATACAATTTATCATTTAATTTATCGATCTATAAATCATGATCGATCATCATACGATATCTGTTAACACAATTTCTCTTTTTCTTTCTTTCTTTTTTATTTTTTTTATTTTATTCAATTACTTATGTATTATTCAATGCTTATTCAATCGTTATGATTAATTCGTTAAAAATGATGATATAACAATAAATTTTTCATAATTGAAAAAAAAAAAAGAATTTTCTTTCACATTGTAATGCAAACTCGTCAACATTTCACAATAAATAATAAAAAGAAAAAAAGAAAAAAAGAAAAAATGAAAAAACGCACGTGCGTAAAACGAGATCATCATTGAAAATAAATTTACACAATGCGTGTGCATTATAAATAATATTAATTATTATTATTATTATTATTTAATCGAATGTATGTTAATATGTTAATATATATATACATATATATATATATATATATATATATATATTTAATATTAAAATGAAATGAAATTTGGTGTGGTAAATTTTTTTGACGAGTCAACGAGTCGTTTTTAATTAGTCAAACCGTGGGTAATCAACAGGCAACGTTTAAATGGCAAATATTGCTCATTAAAGTTCATTATTTTTTTTTCTTTTTTTTTTTTTTTTTTCTATTTGCTTCACTCTCCTCCTTTCTTCCACCACTTTTTCTTCTTCTTCTTCTTCTTCTTCTTGTTCTTCTTGTTCTTTTTCTTCTTCTTTAAATTCTATATTTAACTTGTTTTTCTTATGCTCGAATAACGTTTACGTTATTAAATATTTATACATTATTTGTTTTACAATTTATCATTTATACACAAGAGCATTTTTGGTATTGGTATTATTTGTATTAAAAATTTCTACACGTTTCAATTAACTGATGAAATTCCCCCCAACGATGATATATCTATTTTTAATTGTAATTAATTAATTTCTTTTTTTTCTTTTTTTTTTTTATCTTATTTAATTTCTTTTTTTTTTTTCTCTTATTTTCTTCTTCCATTTGATTTTATTCACATATTTTAATTTGTACTGTCGTAACAAGAACAAACAAAATTTCATTTGATTTACACCTTTAGCTTTTTTTTTTTTTTTTTTTTTTTTTTTTATAATATACATTTTTATTAGAAATGTTTTCTTTTTTCTTTATGGTGGAATTAATTAAAAAAATTTTAACGATTATATTTTTTTTTTTTTTTTTTTTTATAATATACATTTTTATTAGAAATGTTTTCTTTTTTCTTTATGGTGGAATTAATTAAAAAAATTTTAACGATTATATTTTTCTTCTTTTCTTTTTTTGTTTTTTTTTTTTGTTTTTTGTTTCATTTGGAATCACGAGAAGAATTGGTTTTCTTTTTTTTTTTCTTTTAATCAATCGTATTTTTGTATTCACTCTTTTTGTTTTTCAATTAAATATTCTTAATTCATATATATATAATAATAATAATTTATAATTATTGTATTAAATTATATAATAATAAAACCAAATATATTATACCAATTAATACCAAATATATATAAATAAAAAAATAATAATAATATAATTATATATATATATATATATATATATTATACCAATTAATTACCAAAACCAAATATATTATACCAATTAAAACCAAAAACATTATATATATGTATATATTTGTATAATTTTATTTATATATTTATAAATTTAAATTATATAATTTAATATATATATATATATA